AGATTTCTTCGTGAAGTACGTCAGGCCTGTTAAGGAAACGAAAAATCATCATCATCATCATGATATGATGATGATGATGATGATAATGATAACGATAGCAATATTAATCATCATCATCATGATCATCATCAACATTAGACATGAACCCTTAAAGTGTAGAATACCATCAACCCCAGGCTAAAACAGCACCTGGACATGGATGGCTGGTGCCTCTATAAATAAATCATTGATCACCATCAACCCCAAAGAACAGCTGCTGTGCGTTCAGCTATACATTGTAATTTGACTAAAGAGAAGCACTTCGACAATATAACGTCCATCTTGTGCAGAGATAAAGATAAAGCAATATAGACGGACAGAAACAACAGAAAGAAACAAACAAACAGAGAAAGAAAGATAAAAAAGAAAAAAAGAAACAACAGAGAAAGAAAGAAACAACAGAGAAAGAAAGAAACAACAGAGAAAGAAAGAAAGAAAGAAACAAAGAAAGAGAGAAACAGCAGAGAAAGAAAGAAAGACAGAAAGAAAGAAAGAAAGAAAGAAAGGAAGGAAGAGAGAGAGAGAGAGAGAGAGAGAGAGAGAGAGAGAGAGAGAGAGAGAGAGAGAGAGAGAGGGGGGGGGGGGGGGGGGACAGAAAGAAAGAGAGAAAGAAAGAAAGAAAGAGAGAGAGTAAGAAAGAAAGAAAGAAAGAAAGAAAGAAAGAAAGAAAGAAAGAAAGAAAGAAAGAAAGAAAGAAAGAAAGAAAAAAAGAAAGAAAGAAAGAAAGAAAAGGGAAGGAAGAAAGAAAGAAAGAGAGAGAGAGAAACAAAGAAAGAAACAAAAAAGAAAGAAAGAAAGAAGGAGGACCAATCAGGGACGCCCTTCAACCACTGCAGCCGTCAGCTCTGATATCACTCCTGAGCTCAGGCTGTCGCGTCACGTCTTGTTATGGGGAGTGTGGTTTCTTATTGATCAGGATGAGCTCTGCGTCTGAGTTGAAGTCTTCGGTAAAAGTCTACTTGAGCTCTCCAGTTGGAGCTGCCTTGACCCACGACGCTTATCCACTCTCTGTGGGGCTGCATATGGGTCGCCGTGAGGGCATGCTAGAAAAAATGCTTTGAAGGTTGTTGGGGTTTTTTTTCTCTAAGGATAAGGAGTGCAGATTTTAGTATAGTCTTGCAATCTATATATCTCTATCTATTTATCTATCTATCTCTCTCTCTCTCTCTCTCTCTATATATATATATATATATATATATATATATATATATATATATATATCTCCCCCACCCTCACACACATGTATAAGGTTCTAGATATTTCTCATTTTGTGACCATGGACCAAAGTATTTCATTTTTCTTGTTCTGGTTTTATGAAGTTACCAAGTATCATAGTTCATTCATTTTAGTTCTTATTCTTCCTGAATTTAAACGTGTGTTTTCTTTTGAGGAACGGTACACTTTCAGTAGCTTTCTATTTCAATGAGTTTATTGCTTTTTTTCTACTGTCTTGTATGATTAACGCACATGATTCACATCCGCGCTCGGCTATGGGGAATATGACTATGTGTGTTCTTTGCACTGGAAAAAAAGCAAGAAAAACAAGCGAGCAAATGAAAAAGACGGAAAAATAATAAAGAAGTAAGTCCAACCGTAGCCAGCCAGTAGCGCCCTCCAAACTATCATAATATAATTATGTAATGAAATTGTCAAGGTTTTTAAAACGTTTTACGGCGCTCGCAACTGCATAAGGTCATATGAGCGCCAAGGGCTGGATGTCAACAGAGAAGTCCTTACAGGGAATAAGACTTACTCTGCTCACCTCTCTAGCTTCAACAGCACAAAGTCTGTTTCGACTAGCAAGGCACCCCGGAAATAGCGGGTCACAAGAGAGTGACAAACATACAAAAGAAGTAGAGGAAAAAAGGACGATAGCAAGGATTATGAAAGAAAAAGCAGTAGTTCCCAGTTGCAGATCAGGCACAGTTATGAGCATGACATTGATCAATCAGCCCATTTACAATAATTTACAATTCTACTGTGCATAAGAAATATCAATGCCCCCCCCCCCCCCTCCCTTTGGGAATGGCCTAAAGTCTAGCGCCGGGACTGAAGACACTTCAGTCAGTAGCACCGTCCCGGGCGGGAAGGGGGCGGGGGTATGTCAATGTCTTGCGCTCCCATCGATACATACTCAGATCGTTATGGAGGATGACTGCTCAACCCTGTCTGTCACGGTCGACCCAGGCTGAGATGGATACAACGTTCCAGAAAAAAACCCCGCAGATACTCGATTAAATAAAATTCTCCCTACATGGGAATCCAACCCCTGTCTCCTGCGAGTGACGACAAAGCGCATAACCACTACACACAGGCTCTGGTCAACGTACCATGGACGAGTAATTATTCTGTCTTGGTCAGATTATACAGTATGTGTTTCCTTGCTCTGCAGATGGATGTGGTATATTTATTGGTTTAGCGCTACTGTCAACACTGTTGTTAGGAAGACCCCATCGACAACCTTGAAAACTCCTGAAACATCTCATGCTCAAGAACGTCCAGCTGGGGATTCGAACCTGGGTCATCCGCACCATGGCTCAACGTGATGTCAACATATTGATGGAGCAACATTCCACAGAGAAATACCACGTTCCGATTAGATAATCCGCGCCCACTAGAGTAGTTACGTTTCTAATTAATAACTGAGTGAAGAGCTCCTGGAAGAACACTTGAAATTTGAAACCTGGAGCCTTCAAAGAACTGACAACAGCAACCGATCCTCACGGACTCGAGAGACACAGAGCCACCCCCCCCCCTTTATACACACACACACACACACACACACACACACACACGACATTTTTGTTGCAATTATTGTAAGAGTTATACACCTCCATTGACACAGTTTAACTCAGGATGGAGACGGGCGTCTTTGGCCCTGCCTGTCACTTACTGTCAGGGCCAACCCAGGCTGAGTGGGAGTATAGAGGGGGAGTTACAGTACGTCCCTTTCAGATTGCAAATCATTATCAAAACACAGGGGGAGCCTGGAGGACCTGCAGTTGTTGTTGTTGTTGTTGTTGTTGTTATCGATCCAGCAACAGCTGGGCTCTCGCCCTTCTGTCCAATGCTATGTAGTGATAAGTGCAGGTCTGCTGCAGTTGCTGTAATGTTCCATAGAGTGTGTTGTCAATGTTAGGTCTCGGAGGGAGAAGGGTAGAGGACCTGCAGTAAACAGCAGCCTTCACACAAGCGACTGGGTGTCCATTTAGAGATTATAAACTTTTTGTTTTGGTAAACGATTTACAGCGTTCGCAACTGCCTAAGATCATAATGAGCACATGAGACACATTTAACGTTTTCAGTTTGGTAGAAATTTTGAATTTTGCCCAGGTGGCGGTCGATGCCTACTTTTATCGATGTTAGGACCATCAAGGGATCTTTAACATGCGCAACTTGGA